TTCAGAAAACACTTTGAGGAGAAAAGAAAACTTCCCACACTGCTTCCCTTGTGTCTAGCAAAAGGGCATATGCCTGCTTTGCTCCTCCCCGCATGGCTAATGCTTAGAAACAAAATGTTCTCCCTGAACAACACATCGTCATCACCAACTTCTTTTCTATGATGTTTCTTGAACAAAGAAAATGGAAAAGTGGGTCTCTCATCAGGAGTTGGCTCCAATGACGCTAACAGAAAAATTCAGGCTTGGGAGCAATTAGGAAGAGAAGAGGCAAACTCTTGAAATGACTTTTAAAACTTTCTAGTAGCCCAAATCCAAGGATTCCTTCCACATACCTGTCCCCAATTACCATCCCGCATATAAAACGGGGCTAAGGATACTGCTAGGATTTAAAGCGACTAAGTGAATGAAAAATCAAGCACTGGATTGCTGAGTTGTGTATCAATGCGAAATAAATGGAAAGAATAGATTCTAAGGAGACCAACTAAAACACTGGTGCAAGCCAGTGGCAACCTGCCTGGAGAATTCCTGGAGACTCCAGAATGTCCAGATGCAAAAAGCAGGGAATAACAAGAGCTGAGCAGTCAGGAGCCAGTAGCCTTCGTGTTTAAATGAAGTAGACTTATCACTGTCAAAAGCCAGTATACACAAGAATCCCCTGAAGAGCTCTCAGAAAATGCAGGCCCCTTGGCCTTCCCTTCAGTGATTCCGATACAGGAGGCCTGATGTGGGGCCCAGGAGTCTGAATTCTAAGAAGCATCTAGGCATTGCTGTGCAGCTGGTCCAGGTCTACACTTTCACAAACACCAACAGCCTTTTCCACAATGTCCGATCAGTTGCTGTCTTTGTGCATAAGAACACTTCTCCTTAGGCAAGAGATTAAAAGGGAAGAAACAGAACTTTAATCCTTAAGCTTGGTAAACTTTCAAGGTAATTAAAAGAGACTGGTTACTTGCTGGAAAACAAAGTATTCATACATCCATACACCATGGATTGGGTAAAACATCAATCACGTTCAGGTGATTTAATATTTCTCTGAGATGGAAGAAATTCAATGACTGAGTGAAAGGCATCAGGCAAACTCTCTATCACCTGGCGTTAGCAGCTACAATAATATTCCAGCCACCCATTTTGAAAAGGAAGCTTGGAGGAAGAACACATAGGACCACTATCTTCAGGAATGCATTCCAGGAAGGGTTAAATAAATCACATCAGAATATAGCTTATTACCACTCCACATAAACCCAGAAAGGGGTTGGGGTCCAAGGTGATCTAATATTTTCATAAATAACTCGAAAGATGGAGTGGGAATTATGCAAATCACACCATAGATGATACAAAAATGGCAGGGATGGCAAATCTGTGGAGAATGAAATATAACTACTGGGCAATGTCTTTAAATTTGCCTTTATTGAATCTTGTATATTGAAGTCACATATTATTGGATCTGTTTATTGAGACTCAATGGGACCAAACGCAGGTGATTTATGGAAGAAGGAATAATCAAATGCATAAGTAGAAAAGAGCATGCACCTGGAGAGGCATCGACACCAGGGCTGGGACAGGCTCCGACTGGTAAGTTGATGAGAGGGTGGACAGGGCATAAATAAGGAAATACGTCTGTTGCTCTTTGAGCCACCTGGACTTGACGCTGCTTCCTAGGAGTGTCATGCTTAAGTGTAGACCTGGAAGGGAATTCCGAGCAGGGTGCCACAGAGACTATGGGCTGGGGTCCTAAGTCAACCAAGAACGTACGGGATGTTCAGAAGGTCTCCCAAATGGACAAAGCCCTAATGTGCCTATTCGTTAGGGAAAGACGCGCAAACGACAAGGGACCTGTAGGAGAGAAAATTTTCAGCTCCTATTAAGGAAAAACACTCATTCGAAGCACAGCTGGCATCTTGGAAGAAAGGGCAGCTTATGGTAACACCATCCCTGGGGACCTCTCGAGGAGGCGGCCAGACACCTCTCTACTTAGGATGCATTAGAGATTATTAAAAGCACTCCTTGCCCAGTTTGGGGGTGGGGGGGTGGGCCTCGTGACCTCTCCAAAGGTCATTTCTATCCCAAAGGATCACATGTCTGAAGGGCACCAGATAAAAATAAAGTCTATTAATCACCGAGCTGCCACACAATTTCCTAAGAGAGCCAGAACAGAGAAGGGTAATCGACGGTGGCCCCTGCTCCACCGAGAGAGGGAGAGGAGGCAGCACGCATGCGGACAGAGCCAAGAAAGCAGCCACTGAGACTTCCAGAAAGCCTGCCATCAGGCCTCCCAGGCACTACAGGGCACACAGAAGGCGGGAGAGAGCCTGCGGGGAGGGCATCGGGAGAAGCCAAGGGCACTGAGAGCCCCGAAACGAAGCCACGGGGGCTCAAGAGAGAGTGCGTGATGCAAGCACTTTGCAGAAGAGGGGTGCCCGGTAAGAGAGGGACGCCCCCAAAGGGCACTTCATGGAGATGATCCACAAGGAGGCAGAAGTCAGAGGCAAAGGTGGGAGGAGAGGGACTGGGAGGGGGTGAAGTCGGAGAAAACGGCACACAGGTGTGTGTGTCTGGGAGTCCACGGGATTATGATTGGCTGGGAATCCAGTGAAAGCTGTAGAGATAGAGCAAAAAGGGATCCCACTGTCTACGGTAGCAGACAATCACATATGAAGATAAAGCATTTTAAAAGAGGAACAAAGGGCTGGGTGTAGTGGCTCACACCTGTAATCCCAGCACTTTGGGAGGCCGAGGCAGGGGGATCGCTTGAAACCAGGAGTTCAAGACCAGCCTAGGCAAGACCCCGTCTCTACAGAAAATTTTTAAAACTTAGCCAAGCATAGCGGCACTGGCCTGTAGTCCTAGCTGCTGGGTATGCTGAGGCAGGAGGATGGCTTGAGTCCAGGAGGTCAAGGCTGTAGTGAGCTATAATCCTATGACTGTACCCCTATACTCCAGCCTGGGTGACAAAGCAAGAGCCTCTCTAAAACAAATAAATAAAAGAAGAATACAGTAGCAATGCCCCAGTTCCAAAGCAGTTGTTGGCATTCTTTGTTTTTTGTTTTTTTTTTTTTTTTGGAGACGGAGTCTTGCTCTGTCGCTTGTCTAATTTTGTGTCTTGAAGGGCTTTCTCTATTGGGGTCAGGGAGTCACAGAACAGGTAAGCATTCAATTCTTCAACTTAGGCATGGATAGTGGAGGTATAGAAGTCAATTTTTTTTTTTTTTTTTTTTTTTTTTGAGACGGAGTCGCTCTGTCGCTCAGGCTGGAGTGCAGTGGCCGGATCTCAGCTCACTGCAAGCTCCACCTCCTGGGTTCACGCCATTCTCCTGCCTCAGCCTCCCAAGTATCTGGGACTACAGGCGCCTGCCACCTCGCCCGGCTAGTTTTTTGTATTTTTTAGTAGAGACGGGGTTTCACCGTGTTAGCCAGGATGGTCTCCATCTCCTGACCTCGTGATCCGCCCGTCTCGGCCTCCCAAAGTGCTGGGATTACAGGCGTGAGCCACCACGCCCAGCCATAGCCACCGCACGCCCGGCCATAGCCACCGCATTCTTGATAGATGTACTGGTCAAGCCAAACACAGCTGGAAAGCCCAAGGGGGTCTGAGGGCCCTTCCCAGCCCATGGCCTAGAGCCAGTCTCTCAAGGGTCAGCAGGCTTGGGCTTCTACGTATCAGAGCGAAACTGAACGCCATGTAGGAAGCAAGACCCAGGCCAAGGTAGGCACTTCCTGGTGCTGCCAAAAGGCACCAGACCCCGTGCGCTGCTCCCTCCTCATCCTGGATTGGAATTGCTTTGGGGTGGAGACGTTACCTGCAAGAGTTGTCTCGAGAATGGCATCTGCACGGAGTATTAAGCAGCCAAATGGGGGTCATGGAGTTTGAGTTCTTCTAGCAAAATGTTCTCCAATCAGCTGTCACCCCATCGGACACAGAACAACTTTTTGAAATCAAAAGAGGCCACTGAAGGGGGAGACAAAAGACACCACCCCCAGCCCGCTCCCTGGGCGCCCCCCCCCGCCTGGCTCTCTCCCTGCCTTCAGGGAGACTGCAGACCCTGGCGAGATGGGTGGGACACCCAGAGGGAGCCCCATGCCAGGGTCCAGCCTCGACTGTTTCACTGCCATCCTCACTGCAGCCCCTTCCCTCCTATGGTGAAGCTCTGCATCCTCAGAGAGGAGAAGATGGCAAGCGAACATCATTAGGAGTGTGGTGGTGAGGGCTGCCCTCCCATGGAATGAGCAAATGGTACCCAGTACCATGAGAAGATGACTAGGGCACAGGTTTTCAATCCGCCACTCAGTGCTCTGCTGTCTGGAGCTGACCACATCCCTCCTCAAGCTGCAGGTTTCCAGAGGTCCACCCACTGCCCTGGCTCCCTGCAACTCGCCTCCCGTGGGCTCCCTAGCTCTGTCTGCAGACCCTAAACTCAGGAGTCAGCCAGGGAGTCGCTTGTCCAAAAGATGTTTCTGAAGCAAGCAAGAAAGACTAGAGATGGATCGAGGGCCATTTCTTAAAGTAAGTCATCGTCATAGAAAGATTCATAACTTGCCCTACCTAGGACAGGAGAGAAAGAGGGAAAGGAAATTAAAGGGAAACAAATGAAAAGCCACGACGAGCCAAGTACCTTTGTCGGAGGGTTTTGAGTTATGCTTTTGTTTGTAACTCTCTGAGATACAGAAAGAAATAGAGGATGAATCTTAAAGGAGACAGAGAGCGTGAGAGAGAGAGCCAGAGGAGAGCCACGCAGGAGGCATGGCAGGAGGTGGGGGCACAGAACTGAGGGTGGGGGCCACCCCGGCTGGCTTCCCCTCTGCAGAAACCCGCTCCCGGGGCAGCAGCAGCCCAAGGAAGTGGTGACTGCGGCGGAGGTGACAGGCGGGTAAGCTGGGGTGCGGACAGAGAGGAAGAGGCGAGCACACGCTGAGGCTGGCAGGCGGACGGCCAAGGAAGCACAGGGAAGGGGGGCCCTGGGGTCAGGGGCAGAAGAAGGAAGGTGGGACCGGCCCATACTTACTGTCACAGACGTAAGGTTTGTCGTGGTCTTCCTGAGAGGCAGCGTCGTGCCTCCTCCTGCCCCCCGCAGAGCCACGAGCCTGGGGAGACATTGGGGTATGGGATGCTCGTTACCACGGTCATCACTACGGCTCTGGAGCATGCGCTCTGCAAGCTCCTTACACCATCTTCATCCCAACTTTTGTGCCAACACCAGTCCCATCTTACAGGGGAGGAAACTGAGGCCCAGAGAGGTCAGGTGACACATGCCTGAAATCACTCAGTTGCTCACCTGTATCATCTCATTAAATCTTCACAATTCCAAGAGGTGGTTTCTACTAGGGTCGTCATTTTACAGATCAAAGGACTGAAGTGATAGAGAGGTTAAGTAGCTTGCCCAAGGTCATTCGGCTACTCAGGGCAGCCGTACTGAAAAGCCCTCCTCTACCAAATTCCCACACACTACAGTGCCACTGAGGCCGCTTCCTCCAGCTCCTTAGCCTTCTAGCCTCACTGACACCGCTGAGGATGACAACCTCAGGCCCCTTGGCTGACCAGCTGCTGCGTGTATCAGGAGCAAGGCCTGACGGGGGCAAGGAGGCATAATTGTAGTTGTCTCCCTAGGTTCCTGTGTCCATCCCCCCTGTGTCCCAAGAGCCAGACAGTCCTGATGCACTAGTGTAGATGCAGGGGAGGCCCAATGCACTAGTGTAGATACAGGGGAGCTCCTGCCACCACCCCAGGCTTGGCCTACTCAGTAGGGGTGGGCTTTGGCTAATGCCTCCCTGTGTGGTCTGCCTTGGGCCTCCAGCCAGTGATGAAGACCTTGACCCTCACGGTCTCCTGGGCTGGACTTCTGATACCACCACCCTGTGTGAATCTCCCAGACAGGGTCAGCATGACCCGGGGTGGCGGTGGAATGAGCTCTACCTTCAAGAATCAAAGAGCCCAGTCAGAGAGGTTGCTGGCAGCTCTGCAGCACCAGGGCGGTGGTGACAAGAACACGGCGAGGTTTATTTTTAAACCTTTGTAAGTCCCACACTGGTCACGTGTGTCATTCTTTGGTAATGAGTAGCAGTCAACTCCCAACCAAGGAAAGGGCCTGTGGGGGTCTTTGGGGACAGAGAGGAAGGGGCAGCAGGTGAGGAATGAGACCTGGCAGCAGCCTGGGGTCCAGGGGAAATGGGGCAGCCCCTGGGGCCTGGCTTGGAAAAGTGGCCATGGGGACTTGGTGGTTGAAAGGCCTGGGAGACTCTCACACACACGCTCACACTCTGTGCACACACACTCCATGCACACACTCACTGGGGACTTCACAGTGGAAAGGCCTGTACCCTAGGCCTGCAACACACACACTCAGAAAACACACCCACTTCCCAATCAACACCACCTGCCAAGCTACCACCTCTGTCACCTCCTCAGCTTGTCTCTCTCCAAAACAAATTCCACTTCCTCTCTCCCTCCCACTGGTTTCCCTCCCCACCCCACCCCTGCAGCGCTGACAGCCAGCAGCCCTCCTCCCCTCGCCCTCATTACTCAGAGTTGACCCCAAGAGGGATCTGTAGGCGCTGGCAGTCACCCCGGGCACTGACAGGCCTCCTGCCTGCCCGCACTGACGAAGGTGGTCACCCTCAGCTGCCCTCCCCCTCCACACCCCTCTGGGAAGCCAGGGACAGCTTGACATGCAGCCCGCAGCCCTGTCACAGCCGCCTCTGAGCAGGTGAAAGCAAGTCAAGCAGAATGACGAGGCAACAGCAGACTGGGGAAGGGGCTCTGGGAGACTAAAAATACCTCCGGGGGAAGGGGAGGAGTCGAGCAGAACTGGAAGCATGAGGGCTTCTGGGGGAGCTGCCAGCAGGAAAGGGAGGGTGCTGTGGGAGCCAGGTTTTCATCTCCTGCAGCAGGGCTGACCAGCAGAGTGACTCTGTGTGCCACACTCCCTTTGCCTCAGTTTCCTCAATGGCAAAATGGGGATCGTGTCTATAGGGCACTTCAGGGAACATGCAAGGGACTCTTTCTGAAGCAGTAGGGTCTCTCAGAGGATCTCAGGTTTGGAAACTCAGAATCCCACTTGTCCTGCTCAAATGTCACCTCCTCAGAGAAGCCCTCCCTGACCAACTTACATCCACTCACACCCTCTCTATCATTTTCTTTCCCCTCCCGTTTCATCATGGCACTGAGCGCTGACATTAGATTATACCTGTGTTGGTTTACAAGTTGATTTTGTCTCCCCTACATGGAGAGACAAACATAGTGAAGACCATGTTTATTGGGGCCACCACTATTCTCAGAACCTGGCACAGGGCCAGCCACATAAGAAGCACTTAATAAACATTTGCCAAATAAATGAGTCAATCAGGCAGGCAGCGAGTCAGTCACTTCTGGTTCTTCTTCTTCATTTTCTGTATCCAAATGCTATTGCTTCTTCCTTCAAAGGCCATCTAGGCTTTGCATTTCCTTTCCATTGCACACCCTAATCCAGGAGCTCATCAACTGACCCCTGAGTGGGTTCAAAGAACCCACTCAAGGGGATCTACCTCCACATTGCCCCCTAGTCCACCCTAACAGGGGATCTACGTCCACACTGCCCCCCAGTCCATCCCACAGGACTTTCAGACCATTAGACAAAAGGATGAAAGACAGGAGCCCATGGTTATAGGTTCATGCATTCACACGTTCATTCAATCATTGCCATCTACAATCCACTTACACAGCCAGTGGCAACCTAGTGCTGATCCCCTCGGGTTCAGCCCATGATCACGCTCTCCTCTGCCCATGCACACCTGATCCATGATCACGCTCTCCTCTGCCCATGCACACCTGATCCAGGCTTTGCCCTTGCTAACCTCCACTCCTCCAAGAATCTTCCTCCTGCCACAGTAAGGAGTGAAAAGAGCATCCGCTTAAAGTCAGATAAGACACAGGTTGAAATACCAGCTACATGTCTTGGGCAAGTTACTTCTCTAAGCTTTAGTTTTCTCAACTGTAAAATGAGCACACCAACACCTATATAGCAGAGCTGTTGAGAGAGTTTGAGCTGAGAGTGTGTGAAACCACAGGGGACAGCACTAAGTCCACAGGAAGCACTCAACACACTATTTCCCCCCTCCTTGCCTAGGTTGATCTCTCTCCTCTGAACTCCTGTTGCCTTTGGTTAGTGCACAGTCATGTACCTGCTGTTTCTAATGGTATCATGGGTATTAGCATCTTCTTCCTAGTTTGATTCAAAGGTCCTTGGCGGCAAAACGGCATGCTATACTTTATTATGACCCCCTAACACTTAGCACATAGCATGCAAAGCTCTTTTGCATATAGTAGCTCAGTTAATTCCTACAATACCCCTATGAGTTAGACCAAGTAGTGTTATGATTCCTATCTGGCCCTTGATGAAGCAGATTCTGACCTGTCCACAATCCCAGGGCCAGCAGAAGGAGCAGGACCTAGGTCTCCAGGCTCTGTTATAGAAAGCTTTGAAGCTGACCAGCCAAAGGAAGCCAATCCTCCTTCCCCCAGAACTGCCCACCCTACTCCCCTCCTCCCTACCCCTATCCCCACACTGCTGGGCCACGGCAGCCATGAGTGTGCCACATGGCCCTGTCCCACTGGCCACAGTTGATTGGCTGGCTCAAGAGTAGTCATCTGATCCAAGCTGGGCCAATCAGATTCTACCTCCAAGGAGTTTGGAATTAGAAAACAGTGACCCTAGTTAGTGTAGGCCACTTGAACTGAGGGCCCATACATTCAGGAGCCTTATGGGGCCATGTACACATGAAAGCAGGAAGAATGAAGGAGGGAGAAGTAGAGGCCAGAAACTACCTGGGTTCCTTACTGTTTCCCAATGCTAAGTCCCTGCCACGTCCCTGCTCTTCCTGTGGTTTGGATCTTCAAAGGTTGCTCAAATTTGGGGCAGTGGCCTGGCAGCTTTTCAAATGCTTCCCATTTTTATTAAAGCTGAAAGACCCTTGACTAGGACAGACTCGGTCCTAAGCAGAGAGCTAGATCTTCTATACCAGTTGTTCTCAAACAGTGTGGCCCAGGAATCCTGGGGGATCCCTGACTGTCCTTTCAGGGACTCTGCAGTGTCTGAACTATTTTCATAAGAGTCCTAAAAGATGATTTGCCTTTTTCACTCTCACGCTGTCATAGGCGTCCAATGGAGTCTTCCAGAGGCGACGTGACATGTGATGATGCTGTCACTATGTGTGTATTCTCTAGTTTAAAATTTGTTTTGTTTTTCTTTTAAATCTTTCTTATTGGGCCACCTTTTAAATCACAATAGGTGTAGAGAGACTCCCTTTTTAATTTCTAAAATGGCAAATATCATTCGTGATATGAATATTACTGGTTATAACCTGAATAACAGCCTTTGGGGGCTCTCAGTATAAGGAATTCCTGAGACCAAAAAAATTGAGAACCACTGCTCTATGCCCTTGCTTGCTTTCTTTTTTTTTTTTTTTTTTTTTTTTGAGACAGAGTCTTGCTCTGTCGTGCAGGCTGGAGTGCAGTGGCTCAATCTCGGGTCACTGCAACCTCTGTCTCCTGGGTTCAAGCGATTCTCCTACCTCAGCCTCTTAAGTGGCTGGGATTACAGGTGCGTGCCAGCTCACCTGGCTAATTTTTTGTATTTTTAGTAGGGACGGGGTTTTACCGTGTTAGCCAGGATGGTCTCAATCTCCTGACCTCGTGATTCACCCGCCTTGGTCTCCCAAAGTGCTGGGATTACAGGTGTGAGCCACCGTACCCGGCCTGCACCCGTGCTATATAAAGTGTGGTCCTGACACCAGCAGCTCCAGCATTACTTGGGAGCTTATTAACAAGGCAGGAGTTCAGCCCCCACCCTATGGACATACTGCATCAGAATTTGTATTTTAACAAGATCCTCAGGTGCTCCATAGGCACATAAAGTTTGAGAGGCACCTGAACACCATAGTACATAAATACTTCATGATTGACTGATAATTGATTTATTGCTAATACTCACATGGATGACTCACAAGAATCTCATGAATTTTAAAGAGCTTTGACTTCTCGGGCTGAAGTTACCATAGACACAATCATTAATTGTTGGGCTTCCCTCACCGCTCAGAGAATACCCATTATCAAAGTTTCGAGAGTTATGCCCTTTGCTTGCATCCTCCTGATAATATCTAGGCAGTATGAAGCACTCAAAACTTACTGATGAAGAAACTGAGGCCCCGGGTACTTATATAATTTGGCCACCATCACAGAGGTTACCTAATTCACCCAGAGGGTAGTAAGTGGTGGAGCTGGGATTTGAACTCGCAGGGTCTAAGTTCAAATAAAGCGGAGCCTATTCTGTAGCTACCTTAGCCCTGGCCTCCTCAGTGAGCACACAAAGCACCTGGGGACTTGTCAAAGTGCAGACTCTAATTCTAATTAGTCTAGTGTGGAGTCCAGGCTCCTGCATTCCTAACAAGCTCCCAGACGATATGAATGCTGCTATCCAAAGACCACACACAGAGGTGGCAAGACTTAGACTGCCTCTAGGTTCTGACAAGAGAAATGGACATAGTTGTTCTCCAGTGCCAGCAGTCGCTGGAATATACTACTTTAAAGGGTGAACAATGAGCTGGGCACGGTGGCTCATGCCTGTAATCCCAGCACTTTGGGAGATGTGGACAAGAGGATCGCTTGAGGCCGGGAGTTCCAGATCAGCCTGAGCAACAGAGTGAGACCCCCATCTCTAAAACATAATAATTATAAAAATAAAGAGTGGGCAAAACAGCTGAACTGAGGCTATGAGTGCAGCAGCTTCACACACTGCAGCACAGGAGCCTTGCCCACAGCCTTCTGGGTCCTTCTATGGCTCCCCCCATGGGTAACATGTCCACAATGTCACTGTACAACATGGAGCCATTCAGCTGCTGCTTGGCCAGTATCTGGTGGGCCCAGAGCCAGTCTAGGTTCCATCCAGCTCCCTCACTGTGTCCAGGTCTCTCTCATCTCCCCTACAACTGAAAACTGAATCCATCATTCAGTCATTCATTCAACAAGCTAATCATTGGCTATACGCTGGGTCCTGGGCCAGGGATGAACTCAGAGGAGAAAGCACAGACCTATGTTCAAATCTTAGCCTCTTCCTTACTAAGCTGAGTGACCTTGAACAAATTGCTGAACCCCCTGGGAGTAATAGACCGACTTGTGGAAATGGAAGAAGTTCCGACCAATAGAAATACAATGTGAGCCACACTCATCATTTTAAAATTTCCAGCAGCACATTTTTTTAAAAAAGAGATAGGTGCAAATAATTTTAATAATATATTTTATTTAACAATATATCTAAAACGTGATAGTTTTATAATTTAATCAATATAAAAATTAATAATGAGATGTTCTGCATTCCTTTTTCATACTAAGTCTTCAAAATTTCATGTGTATTTTACATTTACAGCACATCTCCATTAGGACTAGTCACGTGTTGAGGACTCAGTAGCCACATATGGCCAGCAGCTGCCATAATGCACAGTGCAGAAATAGAGAAGGTAATCTAAAGCACCTGGCACAAAGGCATCACTCTGTTTGTGGTAGCTCTTGATGTACAGAGACCATCACATTGCCTGGTTTACAGGAAGTATACAGTAAATATACATGGTTGCAGCGACTGCTGATGTTTTCACAGACACCAATTCATATCCACTGACTGCAAGCTCAATCTTCTAAATGTAGAGTGGGGAGAAGGTGTGAAGAGGACCATTTCCCACACTCGAGTCAGTTTAGTTGGGGTGAGAGAAGGAAAGGAAGTGGGTCTGGACATGCACAGCTCTTTGGGAGTTCACAAAAGGCCCAGGAAGTCCAAGCTCAAAAGTCTCCTTTAATAATGGATTTAGATTTTCTTTTTAATACCCTCCCCTCCATGAATGGGTCTAGGCCAGTTTAGCAATGGCTGCAAAAATCATTAAGTAAAAACTTGATGAGGAACTGTATAAGGGAGAGATCAGGCTGACAACACTCAAATCTACTCATCAACTGAGACACCATTCAAAGCAGAACTGGACAGGATATGCCCCTGATGTGATACGAGAAGAACCCATCACTGCCTAGGAAGGATTTTTGCCTCTCCACAAGAAATATCTGTACACACATACACAAACACACACACACAAACACACACACACATACACAAACACACACACGAACACACACACACAAACACACACACACATACACAAACACACACACACATACACAAACACACACACACAAACACACACAGACATACACAAACACACACACACACAAACACACACACACACATACACAAACACACACACGAACACACACACACAAACACACACACACATACACAAACACACACACACATACACAAACACACACACACAAACACACACAGACATACACAAACACACACACACACAAACACACACAAACACAAACACACCTACACAAACACACACACACATACACACACACACGCGAACACACACACAAACACACACACAAACACACACACAAACACACACAAACACACACAAACACACACAGACATACACAAACACACACACAAACACACACATACACACACAAACACATACACAAATATACACACACACACAAACACATAGAAACACACACACGCACAAATACACATACACAAACACATACACACACATAAACACACACACAAACACACAAACACACAGACATACACAAATACACACACACAAACACACACACAAACACAAACACACACAGACATACACAAACACACACACAAACACACACATACACACAAACACATACACAAATATACACACACACATAGAAACACACACACGCACAAATACACATACACAAACACATACACACACATAAACACACACACACACATACAAACAAACACAAACACACACAAATATACACACACATACACACACAAACACATACAAACACACACACGCACAAATACACATATACAAACACATACACATAAACACACACACAAACACACAAACACAAACACACAGACATACACAAACACACACATACACACATACACACACACACATATACACAAACACATACACACACATGCACAAATACACATACACAAACACACACACATACACACACATAAACACACACAAACACACACACACCTTGAATCTAAGCAAGTTTCTAATCAAACTACCAGTTTTCGGGAAACGCAGAGGATGGAGAAGACATTAAACACCACCCTCCCACCACTTCTAGAATGTGAGAAGTTCCACAAGACGAACAACCCAAATTCTTCAACAAATTAATGGCATGGAGAAAAAAAAATGTGTGTGGTGGGGTGCAATACGGAAGAGAATACAGAAGAGGTATGCTGTGGAATCCGAGAGACTTAAGTTTCAAACAAACCAACTATAAAATGGCATTTTTTGACAAAGGGGGAAATGATAAGGGACTAGATAGTAGGAATTATAACTATTATTTTATTGAGTATGATAATGATATCTGTTAGAGATACACACTGAGATATGTGCCAGTTAAATGATAAGATGTCTAGAACTTGTTTTCAAATACTCCAGGAAAAAAATCAAACAAACATAAATCAACGAAAAGTAGGAGAAAAGAAGAGACAAGCCAAGATAGCCGAAATCTTGCTAAGTGACGAGGCTGGTCCCAGCTGTACCAGACGTGCACCATCAGAGAGCTGCCCGCCCAGCCCCTGCACAGGCTGCACAGCCCCACACGGCAACAGGCTGGGCATCTCAGCTCAGCGTGCGCAGCACTGGCCCACGTGCAGCGGCCGCCTGGGAACTTGCTTCTAATACAGTATAAAGCCCTGCCCCAGAGCTCCTAAAGCAGAATTTCTGAGTGGGGTCCTGGGAATCTGCATTCAGTAAGCTCTCTCGGTGACACTAATGTCTGCCGAGGCATGAGAACTATGAGAGTGGAGAGCCCTGCCATGATGATGATTGGCCGCAAACCCACCGAACGCCCAGGACTAAGTGCTTATCCATGGGAGGGCTAAGAGTCCTGCCAAGAGCCTGAAGGGGTGAGACCCTCAAGCCTGAGAGTTAATTCTCCAGGTGGACAGCAGCAGTTTACTTCTGGAGGTCCCCCTCCACCTGGTTATTGTCACATGCCCTTGCAGACCCCTGACCGCCACCACAGAAAGCCCCTTCGGGCGTAAACTCTAGATTCAACCTGAATGCCTGGAAGTGCCTTACCAGTCTCTTGTTTTTATTACTTCCACCTCGGTTTCCCCTCTGCCCTTCCGCAGGCTCTGGCTTTTTTCTTGTCCCATCCCAGGACAAGCCTCCAGAGCTCATGCCAAACCCACTGGGAGCCACCAGCTGTAGTCCCCTGCTACCCCAGGAAACTTCTACTCTGCCTAGTGAAGCATAACCCGAAAGCAGGTATCCTGACTCTATCATTCTGGGGTAGCCAGGGACAAGGCAGGAAATGTCCAGCCTTCTTTAGTAACCGAGCAGTGGTGACAACAGGCACATTCTCCTCATCTTCTACCCTCACCCTGATCCCACCCTTCAGCCCTCCCCAGACCTCAGCACCCACTCAGGGCACCCCCTCTGCCTCCTCTCCTCCCTCTTGGGATCAGAGCTGTTGTGGAGTTTTCTTCTTTTGAGCATTCTCCATGTCAGACCATGGCTATGATCTCCATCCAGCTGCAGTGGAGATCAGTATTTGGCCGGGCACCCCAGCCTCCCTCACCTCTTTCCTCGCTCATGTCATCCCCAACTTACCCGTCCTCTAGTCCTGTTCTTTCGCTTGGGAATATCCTCTTCCAAATCCTCTTCTTCATTCCCTTCTTCTACATTTTCATCATTTTCCAAAACCCTCTGAAATGGAAAAAAAAAAAAAATGGAAAAGGTGAAAAGCAGAATGCAAACCATCAGAGGGTAATTTTCAGAGTGTTCCGATTTGTTGTTATTTTTTAACAAAGTGAAGACACTGCCTTTGCTTGGGCAGTTGGGCCTCCAAAATGCTGCCTGGAGTTTGAACTCTTGGCACTACCAAGGCTCTCCTAAGCCCTTGGGCCCCTTCCAGACAAGTCCTCCCAGAACACGGACCTTTTTCCATTCTTTTTGCCCAAGAAGAGCTTTCGAACAAGAGACTATGCTGGTAGGGGTCCTTTTCTATGTGGGGCCAAAATGTTTTATCAAAACTTACTTTTGTAAATGTAATGTTTCTTTTTGTTCCCAAAGGGACACCTCAGAAATATGAAAATGTTTCTCCTTTCCCTGCCATTCTGGAACCCTGCCCTGTCTGATGAAAACAAGTAACTTCCTGTTCATCTGACCAGATTTAACACCAATGTGCTGTTCATAATAAACCACTGCTTTTTTTTTCTAGAAAAATAGACTTTTATTTAGTACCCGACTTGTCATGGAGCTTAAAGATCATGAATTTGAAATTATCTCTCTCCAGCAGCCCGCCAGTCACACTGCAACATAGAATCCAGTTTCCATTTTGCAGGTGAATACGCTGAGGCCGAAAACAGTTTTGAGTGCTCCAGATTATCCAGTGAAGCCATGACCAAAGCAAGGTCAGGTTCATCGGCTCAGCGTTTCCCATTCATTTCTCAGTATGGTGGCTGACAATTCCAAGATGTAATCTGGCATACTCTCCATGTAGGGGCCTAAGCACATCCCTCCCTTCAGAGGAGGGGAGGAGGTAGGATGTGTTCCTCTGGGTTTAAGGGACGGATAAAAGACTGTGGCAGAGCACCCAGCCCCACAGTGGGAGTAGGAAAAGAGGGAAAGGGCATGGAGCTCACTGGGCTCCGTGTCAGGGGGCCCAGAGGGTTTTTTGGGTTTTTTTCATTTTGTTTTTGTTTTTGTTTTTGTTTTGAGACAGGGACTCACTCTATTGGCCCGGCTGGAGTGCAGTGGCACAATCATGGCTCAATGCAGCCTCAACCTCCCAGGCCCAAGCAATCCTCCCACCTTGGCCTCCCAAGTAGCTGGGACTGCAGGCACATGCCACCATGCCTGGCTTTTTTTGTAGAGATGGGGGTCTCACTATGTTGCCCAGGCTGATCTCGAACACCTGGGCTCAAGTGATCCTCCCACCCCAGCCTCCCAAAGTGCTAGGATCACAGGCATACCATGCAGGTGAGCTACCACACCTGGCCACCTGGGGGATTCTTTATGGGCTCACTGTGTGATCTAGGGCAAGTCATCATCGCTTCATGCCTCAGTTTCCCCAATTATACAATAGGAATTCATTCATTCTATCTAAAGCATTTATCTAGTGCTGACTACACGGCAGGCTCCATGCTAGGTAAGCTACAAAATGGCTACAGCCCCAGCCCCAAATGGACTTTCCAGTCTAGGGAAGGGAGGACAGATTTAAATAATGTGCATATATTATCATATAATTACAACTCTTCTCAAAACAGTGGTAGGCAAGTTCAAAGTACTATGAGACGGTGTTAGGAGGGAGTTTTCCCTAATCTGAGGGCCAGGGGAGGCCTACATGAGGCCTACGTGAGCTGAGGAAGTTGAGATGTGGAGGATGAGCAAAGGCTGGCCTTGTGAATGAGGACAGAGGGGAGGGAGGGAAAAGGGTCTAGGCAGAGGAAACAGCATAAGCAAACTCCCTGAGGCAGGCGGAGGAGTGTGGCTTGTCCAGGGAGCAGAAAGGCCAGTGTGACCAGTGCTCAGTGGCTCAAGGAGAGATGGCATAAGATGGAGCTAGTAAGGGGAACAGCTACCATATTACACAGGGTAACCCCATCTCCTCTTCCTTGTGGTGATGTCAAAGATCACAAACATGGTGAGAAGGCTGAGAGAGCGGCACGCACTACACCGTCGTCATAACCATCGCTGTTTAAGCCGCCTGCTGGATGACACCTCTGGCCTGTCCTCAAAGCAGGGAGCCCAGGGGTGCGCCACCAGGCAGCGATCTTCTACCACTCTCCCCTGGCTAGAATGTTCTGCTCTAAATCACTGGAATCAGGACACTTCTAGTCAGCCAATCCATCCAAATAACTCAAAACAGGTCTAGTAAATTCTTTTTTGACTTCTCTACTAAGTTTATTTGGGAAGCCACCAGCTGACAGCATTTAACTGGTCTCTGGGCCAGCCTTAACCATCTAACAGAGAAAGAGCATTGTCTGCCGGACATGACCTCTGGCCCACAACTAGGAAATATCAGCCCCCATTCACAGTATAAGTCTCTTGAGTTCCTGACCTGGAGGCAGGAACACTAACAAAAGCCGACCGAGAGAGTGACAGGTCAAATGCTCTGCAGCCTTTGGGGCAAAGACACAGTATAAATATAAGGTCTGGTTATGACCGTTGTTGCTGTTCGTAGAACCATCTTGCAAACTTTCCAGGTCTTGAAGTCACTTAATCATGGTAAGTTCCAAGTGCCTCAAATTTAAAGGTCATTGCCTCTGGCATCTCGGTACAACTCCGACTCTCATTTTTCATTATAAGGGTATTTATTACCCGCAATATGGACTCTGGGTTGGAAGGTGAAAGACTGGTGGGGGCAGCTGAGCTAGTCCCCAGAGTGCCACATGGCCTCCATGTCTGGGAGTAAACTGACTTCTCTTTTCCCTGAGGCTCCATCCTCCCTCTGCCATCAGCTTCCCTGTGACTCTAAAGTCTGTGTCTACGCCCCAGGCCTCAGAGGTGATGGCGGCAGACCCAGTGTGTCTGCATTTCCTGCGATGCGGCCCTGTCACCAGAAGCCTCTCGACATAATTCAGGAGGAGCCAGGAGTTTCTAACAAACAAAGCTTGTTTCAGAGCTCAGGAAGCGGAGGGGCAGTCCTGTATCAGGAGTCGGGGACGGGGGCGGGGTGTCCAACTACAAAGTCAGCTGACCCCCCCAGTAACAGACATGCATTCCTTGTCCAAGGACATTATCTGGAAAATAAACACATTTTAAAATAACTTTTCTCCCTGTTACTCTAAACAGTCTTTATGGTGATAACAGTGGTTTGTGGTTGTATTTAAAAAAAAAAAAAAAAATCCTTTTTAAAGACTACATTATCTCTGGCCTGGAATACTGCAAAAATCTCCTGATTTCCCCCCTTCCATTGCTGGCCCTGCATCCAATCTCTTCTCCACGCAGCAGGCAACAGGATCTTTATGAAATATAAATTCACAGCCCTGATCAAAATCTTCCAAATGGCTTCCTTCTTTATATCACATGGAACCAAAAGCCACTTCCCTGTCCTATGGGAACTGGGTGGTCTGGTCTCGGCTCACCTGTCGAAGTCCTGGGCTCTTTTCTCCCTGGCACAATACTCCGGCCACACAGGTCTTCTGTTCTTTCAACAAAACCAGCTCTGGCCTGTCTTGGGGCCATCACACCCACTGCTTCTCTGCCCAGAAAGCTCTTCCCCAGGACCATCACTTTCCTGACTCTTCTCATCCCATAGGGTTGAGGTTAAACCCCTCAACTCAACCAGTCATGGTGGCTCACACCTGTAATCCCAGAACTTTGGGAGGCCGAGGCAGGCGGATCAGAAGGTCAGGAGTTCGAGACCAGCCTGGCCAATATGGTGAAACCCTGTCTCTACTAAAAACACAAAAAATAGTTGGGCGTGGTGGTGGGCACCTGTAATCCCAGCTACTCAGGAGTCTGAGGCAGGAGAATTGTTTGAACCTGAGAGGTGGAGGCTGCAGTCAGCTGAGATCATGCCATTGCTCTCCAGCCTGGGTGACAGGGTGAGACTCTGTCTCAAAAAAAAAAAAAAATTCCTCATCTTCCTCAGGAACTCTACTCTGATACTGAATCTTCATACTGTTTGTTCTCATGGATTTTATCCTAAAATGCAATTATTTTACTTGTATTCCTTGTTTCCTGCCTGTGTGTCACATTAGAATATGAGTGGAGTGGACAGGTCTCTCTTGGTCTCTGTGTCCCTAGCACCCAGCACAGTGCCTGCACAGAGGAATCCCTCATGAAACTTTGGTCAAATGAATGAATGAATGAAAAAGCATAATCCATTCTCTACATGTGTATTTTAATAATGCAAAGTCAATAAAAACACTAAACTCATTTGACTTCTGGTCCTGGCTTTGTCTTCTAGCACAGCAGACCCATGCGGTGCACGCAGCAGACCTTCAGTTTACATCTGAGATGATGGTGGCGTGATGAAGACAATACAGCACCAGCCCAGTGTTGCATGAGAAGAACTCAAGCCCACCACCAGCTTTAAAGGGAAAGGGACCCGTGTCCCCAGAGCATCAAGGCTCTGGGCAATGGCTCTGCCCCATTCACTGATTCTGTCAAATTACATGAACTGAGCAAAAAAATACTCTAGCAAGTAACACACAGATGACAGACCTTGACTTCAAAATCTGAAAGTCACATACACACACACAAGGAAGAAAGCAGTAGGTGGCTTAAACACCAAAGGCAAGAAGAGATCCCTGTGGCTGGAGGGGAGATCAAGAAAGGCTTGATAGGGAAGGTGGCACTGGGGCTGAGCCTAAAAGATGACTGGGATTTGTACAGATGGAGATGGAAGAAAAGGCATGCCAGATAAAGGGCACAGCGGGACCAATGGCATGGAGGGAAGAAGCCAGAAGAACAAGGGGGGAAAGGAGTCGTGGAAAATAAGCCTGAAAACTAGGTTAGGAATGGAGAGGACAGGCCTGGGAAGGTCACGCTCATCGTTTTCGATTTATTTAGTGGGAAACAACAGTTTTTTAACAGAGTTTCACTCTAGAACAAAAGGTCAGCTAACAAAGTAGGACATGTCAGAGAGAGGAAGAACCGGGGACAGGGCGATTCCTGGAATCTGTTCCCTCATGCATCCATTCAACAGATATTTATGGTGCACCTGGCAAGCACCAAGCACTGTTTGGGTGCTTGTGAGATATTAGGGAGCAAAACTGGCAACAGGTCCTGCCCTCGAGGAGTTTACATTCTACTGGAAGTAAACAGACATAAACAATAACATAATAAGTAAGTAGATGATGTAAATTAGAAAGCACATTAGATGATGATAAGAGTGATGGAAAAGAACAAGAAAAGCAGAGTGGAAACGGGAGGCAGGGGCAGGCAGGGCAAGGGTGTGGGATGAAGTGCAGCGCGGTCTGGGACATCTTTGAGAAAAGAGGAAGGCCAGGCACTGTGGCTCACGCCTGTAATCCCAGCACTTTGGGAAGCCAAAGTGTGTGGATCACCTGCAGTCAGGAGTTTGAGACCAGCCTGGCCAACATGGTGAATCCCCATCTCTACTAAAATACAAAAATCAGTCAGATGTGGTGGCGGGCGCCTGTAATCCTAGCTACTCAGGAGGCTGAGGCAGGAGAATCGTTTGAACCCAAGAAGCAGAGGTTGCAGTGAGCCGAGATTGCACCACTTCACTCCAGCCTGGGCAACAGAGCAAGACTCTGTCTCAAAAAAATCAATCAACAAATAAATAATAAAATATAAAACCTAAAAAATGAAGAAGGTGAGGGTGAGAGGCAAGTGGACGTCTGGGGAAACGGCCAGGGCAAAGGCCCAAGGGCTGGGGTAACCTGGCGTGTTCTGGGAGGAGCAGAAGGAGATCCTTGTGCCTGGAGTGGAGCGGGTGAGGAAAAGAGGAAGAATGGAGTCAGAGAGTGGGGAGAAGGCCCTGAATTTCACTCTCTGACAGCAGGGGCGGTAGCGGGTTCTGAGCACAGGAATGATAGGAATAAACTTAAATTTTAAAAAGCTCCCTCTCCTGTGATGTATCTAGACAACAGAACACTATTCAGCATTAAAAAGAAATGAGCTATCTGGCCATGAAAAGACATGAAGGAACCTTAAATGAATGTTAGTAAGTCAGAGAAGCCAATCTGAAAAGGCGACATACTGTGAGTCCAAGCATATGACATCCTGGAAGAGGCAAAACTATGGAGATGGGGAAATGGCCAGTGGTTGCCAGGCATTAGGATGGAGGGAGGGATGAACGGGTGGAGCTCAGAGGATTTTTAGGGCAGTGAAACTTCTGTATGATACCATAAGAGTGGACAGATGCCATTACACATTTGTTCAAACCCATAGAATGCACAACGCCAAGAGTGAACCGTCATGCAGACTTTGGATGCTGGGTGATACGATGAGTCAGTGCAGCTCACCTATTACAGCAAATGTGCCACTCTAGTGCAGGATGTTGATTATGGGGGAGGCTATACCAGGGGTATATGGGAAATCTCTGTACCTTCCTCTTCATTTTGCTGTGAACCTAAAATTGCTATTAAAAAATATTTTTTTAAAGACTGCCTCTCAAGCATTAGCAGGGAGATCACTGAGAAGGCAACCACAGCAGTCCACACAAAAGATGACAGCAGCTTGGGACAGGGTAGCAATGGTGGGTGTGGGGAGAGGGGATGTGGGAGAACTGGGCTTATGTTGAAGGCACAGTCACCAGGGCTCCTGATGAGCAGGATGTCAGGTGTGAGAGACAAGCAGGAGTCAAAGATGACTCCAAGGTCCCTTAGACAAATAAAGGTGACAGTTAATGAGGATCTTCAGCTGCAGCTCATGGAAAGGAAAGGAAGGAACAAACATAAGCCATGTTGTGGCAACTCAATGGAAAAGACTTGACAATTCATCTTAACACAGGAATGGCAGAGAAGGCCAAATTCTGTGATTCATTCAATGCCTTTATCAAGACTCAACTCTATCCAGCTTGGGAAAGGCCCTGGGGACACAGTGGTGAGCATGACAGCATCGCCCCTGGCTTGATGGAACTTACCAAGCCAACTAGCAATGTATTATTCCATTATTATTCATTTAATTGTAGTTTCAATAAATTAATATATAAATTAATAAATTTATTGAATATTAAATATACACAATAGGTATAGCATAAAATATAAACATTTAATATGGAATATAAATTAAATAGAAATACAATTTAATTTTAATAATTTAATATTTAACTACCAATGCTGTTATTGCATAATAGGATTAATTCATATTACAATACTCCATGGCAAACATTGTATTAGACAATGAGAATTCCGGACAAATAACAAATAAGAAATGGTAGGTGTGAAGTCGGGTGCAGTGACTCATGCCTGTAATCCCAGCACTTTGGGAGGCTGAGGCAGGCGATCGCTTGAGGTCAGGAGTTCGAGGCCAGCCTGGCCAATATGGTGAAACCCCATCTCTACTGAAAATACAAAAAGCAGCCAGATGGTGGCACATGCCTGTAATCCCAGCTACTCGGGAGGCTGAGACACAAGAATCGCTTGAACCTGGCAGGCAGAGGTTGCAGTGAGCCAAGATGGAGATCGTGCCACTGCACTCTAGCCTGGGTGACAGAGCAAGACTCTGTCTCAAAAAAAAAAAGAAAAAGAGGTGGTAGGTGTGCACCATTATAATCCCATTCAGTGAGAGTTTTAGAAGTGGCATGGGTAGAGGGTGGGACCCATGGGGACAGAGCAGCCATCCGCCTGAAGGGTGAAGACTGCATGGGCTTGAGGAATGGCTGGGCGCCGCTGGGAAAGGGAGTGTGCAGTCGTGGGGACCAGTGAGGCTGGGTGTGAGGGTGGGGGGCAGGCAAGCCGGAGTCACATGGCCCTAGCTGGAGCAGACACTCCCACATTTCAAGCCTAGATGAAGGACTCTTGGTTCCATGGGGACAAGGACTCAGACTGTTTTGTCCACCCTGTGTCTCTGGGACCCCGCACAGTCCCTGTGTTCACTAGGCTCAACAAATTCACTTTGGATAGATAGACAGAAGAGAGGGAGGGGAACCGAGGTGAAGGCAATGAATGACTCCTTCAGAAGATAGGTTAAGTCAGAAAAGAATTTGAGAGCTTCCTGGCCACTATAGAAACGAGGCAGTCTGAGACTCAGCCCCGGCCCTTGAGGGCAGGATCCGGAGCCAAGCCAGTGCTGGAGTTCTGGAAGCTGTATGGAGACAGGAACCCTCTGTGGGGTCCCCAGCAAGTGCGGGAATACCTGTATTTCCTGGATGCTTTCCTCCTCCCTGGCATCCACCTTCTTCTCAACCCCCTCGCCGCGGAGCAAGGCTTCCAGCGTGGTGCTTTCTGAGGTGAACCCATCCTTCTTCAGGGGAAGCTCCACTTCTGAAAAACAAAGATAGAAAGGCAGGTCAGGCCACTAGAAGCAGGCGGGGCAGGAGGGACAGTCCTGGAGGACATGCAGGGCCCAGGGCTCCTGAGGAGGACTCCTGGAGGGAGAGGAACACTGGGGCCCCGTCCAGGTTTTCCATCTCCATTTCATAATCCAGAGATAGATTCCAATCACGCCCACACCCCCAGAGGAAGCTGAGCCAGAGCAGAAAGGGTGTGGGGTGGATGTGGGCTCACATGGCCATGCTTCTGCCTCTCCAGCCAGGACATCGGGCAAGGCAGGCGTCGGGAGCCTGGAGCCCTCACTACATCCGCAAAGCGAGGATAACAATGCCCAACCCCACAGGTGGTTTTGTAAGGAGAAATGTGTTCAATTGCGTTAAAGTATTTTGCAAACTCAAGCAATGCACAATGTTGGCAACCAAGTATGCTCATTCCCTCCTATCCCAGCTCTTGTCTGGCAACCCCATGACCTCCTCATGGCCATGCTGGCTGCCCAGCTCTGGCTTCCTCCATGAAAAGTTAGTTCAGCCTCAGAGAGGCTATTCTCATCAACCCAGGGGGAAACGAGAGCCTCAAAAGCCACGGAAAGAGAAGGAGCAAGGGCAAATGCCTCACAGGCCCCGGATGAGCAGAGTGGCCACTGCACGGCCGCACACCACGACCTTTTTTTCTGAAGGTATCAGGAGTTTGATCAGCTACCTGGGGCTTGAGGTCACCAAGCCAGCAGAGAAGTGGCAACCCGAGCCAGCCCTGCCCAGAAGAGAGACCGTAGAGAAGCTGAACCCCTTCCTCCAGGTGTCCCAAGCTCCTGACCTCACAGAAGTTGGTGTGTTTCTTTCTTTTCTTTCTTTGCTTCCTTCCTTTCTTTCCTTTCTCTCCCTCCCTCCTTCCCTTCTTTCTTTTTATTTTCCTTTCTTTCCTTTCTCTCCCTCCCTCCTTCCCTTCTTTCTTTTTATTTTCCTTTCTTTCCTTTCTCTCCCTCCCTCCTTCCCTTCTTTCTTTTTATTTTCCTTTCTTTCCTTTCTCCCTTCCTCCCTCCCTCTTTCCTTCCTTCCTTCCTTTTCTTTCTTCCTTTCTTTCTCTTTTACAGACAGGGTCTTACTTTGTCACCCAGGCTGGAGTACAGTGGCACTATCATAGCTCACTGCAGCCTCAAACTTCTGGCCTCAAGCAATCCGTCTGCCTCAGCCTCCCAAAGCACTGGGCTTACAAGCAGGAGCCACCATCCCCTGCTGTTTTTTCAGTTAAACATACCAACCTAAGGTACAGGTGATCATTCTGATTTACTACAAAATATTTCTTCAACCTCTCCTCTGATCCTGCACCTCATACCCCCACACTGCCACAGTTTGATATGTGGTCCCTACCATTGTGCCAGGTAAGCTGGGAGCAGGAACTATGATGCAGTGGTGCCCTAGAAAACAGGAGAGATGAATGGCCCGCCCTTGTGGGGGTATTGAGAGTTTAGTGTAGGGACTATTTACAGAGATGGGGGGAGGAGATTAAGGGATCCAACAAGGTAAAGCACCCCAGGTGGGTTTGGGGCAGGGGTGAGGGTGGGGAGGAGCCATGACCACTGCTGCTATTTTTGGAGGGACAGAGGGAGAGTGCTTGCAAGAACCTAAAGACAGCACCATTAGCAGAGCCCCGGGACAGGAGCTGTGGCTTGCAGAGGCCAGGAACCAAGGGAAGGAACAGCCCAACCACTCTCTCCATCCATCCTGCATCAGCCTGCTGCGTCCTCTCTCACACACCAACCTTAAATGGAAGCAAGAAGGGAAGGGAGGCCCCTTCACACAGCCTACTGAGGTCCAAGCAGGGTGAAGACGGAAAAGCACGGATCTGCAGGGGCAAATGGAAAGAACAGCACCATCGAGCCTGCTCCACTGGGCTCTATCCCGACTCCAGCAGAACCCTACCTACACTTTCCATTTCCTCCACCAGAAACAGAGAGAGTCTGACCAATCTACGAGGAAGGGGCACGCGGGCATCTATTAAAACTGAACAAATGCACACCCCTGGGTGACCAGCCCCCAGAAAAAGAAGGTGGGAAGGAGAAACAGCATCTAAAATCTCTTGAGAGACAAAGTCTTTGGGATTTTTCTTACCTAAAAAGGAGAGCAAAGGATCCACTTCCCATCAAGGAGCGCTACCACAAAATCAACCACCTCTGGATCCATCTACTCATTCAACAAATATTTACTGAGTACCTGCCATGTGACCACCACTGTGCTGGGACTAGGGATACAGGAGGCGAACCAAATAAAGACAGGCCCTGCCTTTAGGAGGCTTCCAATCCAAAGAGACAGGTACTAAATGCTAAATACAAAATCAAAATGCAATTACGAATTGTCTTAAGTGCTATGGAGGAAAACGACAGAATGAAATGTGAAAGAATAAACGTAGAGGGGTCTACCTTAGATCAGGGAGTCAGGGAAGGCCTGTGTGATGAAGTTACATTTAAGGTGAGTGTCAGAAAAACAGCCAACTGTCTGCTTTAATGAGTTCAGGGTGTGCAGCTCCACAGCCTGCTCTGATGACATATTACTCTTTCTCCCAAGTCAGAAAAGTCTTCCAAATGTCTAATTTAAAGCAATTAGCGTGTGTTGCCTCATGTCCTGTCCTCAGTCAAAAGAGAACAGCTGGCCACGATCCCTCAAACTTATAATAATCATATAAGTTGAAGTTTATATTTTAGTATCCCCCTTAGCCTTCACAGCACTAAATAAATCCTATTTATTAGTGTTATTTCCCAGAATTGTACAGCATTTTAGAGCTAGAAAAGACCTTACAGATCATCTAATTCAATCATCTCATTTTGTAGATGAGTCACCCGAGACCTAGAGAAGTTAAGTAACCACCAAAAGCCACACAGCAGGATGAGAATGCAGCTGAATGATCTTTCCGAGATGTCACTGAAATCATGACAAGGGCCCCCACTCATTGTATTCTTATTAGTGGTTGACAGGCTCAGACTGAGCCTGACTGGGCTTTGGTACATCCATGTACATGCAGAGGGCTTGGAAAGCAGCAAACATTCAAAACTTAGCAGCTGTTACTGCTACATATCAATCCCCACTACACCCAAAAGCATAGTTATTAACCCATTTTATAGATGAGAGCAGTGTTGCTTGTAGAGGTTGAGAACTTGCTTGATATCACACAGTTGGTAAGAGGCAAAGCCCAGCCTTGAACTCAATCTGCCTCCAGACCCAGTCACCTAATTAGGCTGCATGGACTCCACCCTGTCTCTTTGTGGTCCTTCCTTGAAAAATCTTTGTCCAAACCTTTATGCATTTTCATTGCATTCTGAGACTCACTCCATAGTTTCTGTATTTCAGGATAAAAGGCAGATCTTTAGCTGAGGATGAGGGCAGTTTCGTGTCATGGTTTTGGGTTCTGCTCTATATGACCATCCCCACGCAATGTTCACCATTCTGCAACAGTATTTACCCACTATAGAATGTTCCATCAATAGTGAACTTCTCCCTCTTCCTTCTCCTGCTCCTCCTTCCTCCTCTGCTACATATGCCTCCATCCTGCTTTCCCATAATTGAATCTACTCTCTTGGTCCTCTTTAACCAAACTTTACCAGATAGGCACAGTAGAAGAATAAAGAGGGAAAACAGAACCAAATGGGAAAAGTGAAATAGAAAAAGCAAGAAGGGATCTCCAATAGCATCGAGAGTCCAATCCCTTAAACAGGAAAGTGAAGCACAGAAAGATATAGAGATTCTCCCAGGGTCACAGAGACATTTAGTGGCATCATGCTTCCCTAATTACCACAATATTTGATTGGCTCCTATAGATTCTGCCTTCAGACAGCCCTGAAGTCAAACCCTAGCCTTGCCATGTATTAGTAAAGGGATCATGGGCTAGCTATGTAACCTAAGCTTCCATTTCCATATGTGTTAAATGGGTGTGGTCATAGTATCTATTTCACAGTGTTGGCGAATCAAACATAGTAATGCACTGCATAAAGAAACTCTAAAATAATCCACACAAAAAAACTAGTGTGATAAATAGGGTAGAAGATGAGGCTTATTAATTTTTGTTTTATTCTATTCAAAACTTAGATTCAAAATTAGATCATATATGTAAAGAATCCACAGCATTGTAAGTATCCTAAAAATGCTAGATGTAATTCCCGAAGTTTGAATAGTTTTTATTTCAATGTTACAGCTGCACTGTCCAACAGAAATGTAATACGGGCCACTTATGTAATTTTTAACTTACTAGTAGTCACATGCACAAAAAGGAAGAAAGTCAAGTGTCATTAATTTCAATAAGATATTTTATCTCATCTGGTATTTCTAAAACATTGCCATTCAACATGAAATCAATATAAAAATATGGATGCCAAATTTTACATTCTTTTATCTGCATTGTCTCCAAAGTCTGGTGGGTATTTTCCACTTAGAGCGTATCTCAATTCAGACTAGCCACATTTCAAGTGCTCCATAGCTACACGTGGCTACCAGCTACCACAATGGACAGTGCAGGTTTGCAGCATTAAAAGTAACACTGACTATGACTTTGCTTCCAAAAAATGGAAAGAATTTTACTGTGGTTCTTAATGTTGTGTACGTAATACCTGCTGAGTACCATTCCAAGAGAGTTCTAGCGGACCACTGCAAACCCTGGTTGCAAAGCATGATGGGTAACGCCTGCAAGGTCAGAGTGAAAGGGTAGCCATCCCTCCCTACAAACACACACAGGGTGCACTCTGCCTCCTGACCACAGGAGGTCCCAGAGTGAAGGGGAAAGAAAGCTAACAGGTTCAAGCCCTTGCACAACGTATGTCCCAGACACACTTCTATTGAGCCCTTAGGGATTTCATTTATTCAATTTTATTTGATTATGGCCCATCTGGATATAGGATTTAATATTTTTTTAAAGTGTACTCACTTTGAACCTCACACAAATTTGGGGCCCACATAACCCGACAGGAGCCATTGAATCTTTAACATTAAAAGAAAATGGTCCAAAAC